TGTGTCTTAGAAACAATTGCTTGTGTCTTATAAACAAGAAGAAATCACACCAGACAAGAGGCATGCCATGGATGGATGGAGGAAAGAAGGAAGAACAGAGACGTGATCGACCATAAGAGGAAGAGGGAGAAAGAGATAAAGATGAAAACAGGAAAGAGAAAGGGAGATATGGGAGAGAAAAGAAGAGATAAAGATGAGAGAGAAAGAGAGATAGAGATGAGAAAAGAGGAGAGAGAGATATATATAGAGATAAGAAAAGAGGAGAGAGTAAGAGAGATAAAGATGAGAAAAGAGGAGAGAGAAAGAAAGATAGAGACGAGAGAAGAGAAAAGAGGAGAGAAAAAGAGGGGAGGAGACAGAAAGTGAGATAAAGACGAGAGAAGAGAAAAGAGAAAAGAGGAGAGAGAAAGTGAGATAGAGATGAGAGAAGAGAAAAGAGAAAAGAGAAAGAGGAGAGAGAAAGATTGGAGAAGACAGAAAGTTACCTTACCCAGGGGTACCTACCATTTTCTTCTCTCTCCTTTCTCTCTCTCCAAGATGCACCCACCAACACAAGCAAAAATGAAGTCTTTATTGAATATTGAAGAATTGTGTATGCGTCTTTACATTTTGGCTTTGCATGTTTATATAGAATTGAGTCCAAACATGTGTGGACGCCCAAAAACTACTTAAAATTGAAGATAATTATAATTTAATTGAATTAAAAGAAATTCAAAAAATCGGTATACAAGGACTGTTTTGCCCCTGCCTAATAATGTGTGGAATTTCAGAACAGCCCTGCTGCTGCTCGAGAACTTGCGTGATCTTCCATGACTGTTCCAAGGTTGCTATGATGCCTGTTTGATCGAAAGATAATTTTTTTCTTGTAGGGCTCGGCATGACGATCGATTTGATACCAACTTCGAGCCATGAATCATGTTTTTAAGCCATGGTCATGAGACTTGAATTTTGGATTAATCTTAAAAAATTTGGATCAATAGTGTACTTATTTCTTGATGCTTTTCTTTAGTTTCTTCACTGAGTTTCACTGAGCATACTATCACGATCACGTTGCAAAAAACGCAGCTCGATTTCATATCCAGACGGAGATTTCGTCGTCTTGAGTTTTTTGCAGGAATCTTGAAATCTGATAGTTGGAATTTACAGCAGCTTCGACGCCTCCGTGTGTGGAATCCAATGGTTCATCGTATGCTAGGTTCGGATCAGAGATAGCATCAGACCTAACGCACATATTGCAATTGGTTTTGCATTGATTGAGTTTGAGAGCGTCGTGATTTGGCCACTGAAGTGAAGCGTGCTGCTGCTGAATATTTTACAACTTTCTTCACAAATCAGCAACTTCTCTCTAGTTTTTCTCCCTGCTCGGGCATCCTCACGGAGCATACCACCTATCAAAACGCTTGTCTCGATGAGATGAACATGCTCACAAAATTTGAGTATGATCCGACCTGAAACAAGTGAGATATAGATCCCAAAAGTTACTGCCCATGACTGTGAAAACAACCACCTTTAATGGTGTTTTGGTGCAGGGTAGCCGCACGGGAATAGTGTACGACCTACCCCGCATAGGTCCTGGCCTCGTGTTATAGGATGTTCACTAGATCCTACTATAAGTGGAGTTTCTTTGAGGCAAAGGATTACGGAGGGGCGCCATAAAGTTATGCGAATCCCAACTGCTTTGACTCTCAAAGCTAGGTTCCCCTCACGCCGCTAACACAAATTTTGGGGGTTTTCGAAATATTTATTTGCTGGTTTCTCGAGCACTCCCAATCCGGTCTGTGTTGGAGTGTGTAAAGAAGCACACAATTAAGATAGAGTCAAGCACACAATGCACACAAGCACGAAACGAAATAAGTGAGCACTCGGCACTGATCGTTCCTAGCGATGCGTGCTTCGAGGCGAAACTCACTCGAAGCACAGTATAGATGGAGGGGTAAGCAACCCATCAAAAGGTAAAGTCAGAACAATGAGACCAGACATAGTCCGTGCTAAGTTGAGCATGGCTTGAGTCGAGGGTGACGCGAACAAGACACAGTTCAGGGAGGGTGCAAGCAGCCCTCGATGTATATTTTTTTTACTTTTGAAATTTTTTATATTTTTAAAATTTGATGGAACACGGTTAACTAAGCATGGTGAAAGCATGGAAAACATGGTTTCAATCAAAATCAACAAACTAAAATAAAATAAAAGAGTAAAAAATAGCACAGACCTATCTGAAACAGAAAAAAAATTTACATTTTTAAAAATTTATTTTAACTCAAAACTTGGTCAAAAAGGAGCCAAAAGTCTTTAGAGTAGGTTTGTTGGGTCTCAGAAGTTTTCTGCAACACTTACAGGTGGGCGACACGGGTGGTGTCGCCTGGGCGGCACTACTAGTGTCGCCCTTGCAGGATGGGCGACACTGCTAGCTTCGCCCAAAAAAATATTATTTATTTATTTTTATTTTTTTATCTTGTTAAAATTGATGAAATAAGGCTATAATAAACTCGGAAGAAGAAGTAAAAAAAATATCTACGATGAAATAAATTAAAACAGAGTAAACAAAAAATGAAAATATAACAGACTTGTATCAGGTAAAATATTTTTTTGGTATTTTTTAAAAATTTATTTTGCTCTGAAATTTTGTGAACGATCACCAAAGAGGCCCTAGAACAGATCTACAAAGTTTCAGAAATTTTTGAAACTTTTGAATTTGGGCAACACAGGGAGTGTCGCCCTGGATCTGGGCGGCATTAGTGGTGTCGCCCAGGCGGCACTGGTGGTGTCGCCCAAGCGACACTGCTGGTGTCACCCAAAACAGACATGGTTTCAGAGCACTGAAACCTTGGATCCTGATCACAATAGATTCTTGAGACTTTTTGTGACTAAAAACAGTGAAAACCATGAATGAAAACCCTATTTTGGCACTTGGATCAAGCTCGAAAGGCCCCCTGGTGGGCGCTAAACTGTTTATGATGTAAAATATGACAGATTTTCTGACGAAGATCTCTTGAATTTGACACCTTAAAATGATGAAAATGAAAGAAATAAAATGGTAAAGAAAGTGGGACAAATCGAATTCAGATCTAAGGCCATATCTGCCCGGGAACGAGCAGATCTACTCTCAGATCTATGACAGGGCCAACATGATCCAAGACATTACAAAATACAATTTTTAAGCAAATGAACAAATCAAAATGAAATGAAAACAATAACATAGAAGAAATAAAATGGAAGGAAATTATACCGAATCGAGCCGAATGGCCCGGGACTCCCGAGCCTTCTAGGGCTCGCCTGTATCCGAACCAGTCCTCTTTTTTTCCTCTTTTATTCAGATGTCAACCCGCCAATCTTTGGTGTAAAGGGTCGAGCGACAAACCTAGTGTCGCCCAAGAGAGTGTAAAAAACATCTAAAAAGGCGAAAATTTCAATTTGGAGCAAAAATATTTGGGCGACACTGGTAGTGTTGCCCAAATCTGGGCGATGCCCAGTCCAAGCTGGGCGAAATTGGTAGTGTCGTCCAAGTCAAAAGGTGTCCAAAATGGAAAATTCCAATTGTAGTGTATTTCTTAACCTCTTGTAAAGTTCTCTGAGAAAATTTGGGTCAAAAAATATGTTTTTACTATTTTTAATGATTGTTTTGGTAAAACAGGGCATTTACAGAAATCTGGGTTAAAACAGGATTTCTGCAGGGTTCTAAGTCACAAGATAGGCTATGTGAACTATGTATTTGGGTTCACTAGGATAATGTGGTCCTAAAGGTTTAAAAAACCACCAAATTTGTTATATTTAAAATGGGGTGTTTACACTTGTTACATGCAATATACACTTTTTCTATCTTGTTACTTTCTCCTCTCAAAAAAAAAAGACAATATTTTTATGGTGATCTTTCCAAAAACTGAAATTGGATATTGTTTCTATTACTTATACAAGAAAAGAAGAACCTCACGACCTCACTAAAAAGGAGAGACGTCGTGGTCCTCTAATAAGAGCGTGGGAGAACATTGGACGTAATCACGTTAAGTAATCACGTTGTGTGTAAGAGCTGGAGAGTACCAAATCTTGTTGAGAGGGTGAAAGAGTAGCGAATCTTATTGAGAGAATACGAAATATTATTGAGAAAGAGAAGCAAAGCTTTGTGTGAGAGTGCAGGTTAGGTTTATGTTATTAAAAGAGAACTTTGGATCTCGCTTAAAAGTAGCGGCACTTTGTGATACTCTAGAGCGGTGTTCCCCCAAAATCTATTTTTTAAAATATTTTGTTAACATTATTTACATGTATTTTACTTTAAACATAATTTCGTACTTTTTTAATTTATAACATTTTTTAACGGGACCAGTACTTTGGCCCAACTGGGGCTGGTGCGAGTATTCAGCCGGAATCGTTCAATGAGTACTGCTATGAAGAGAGGAGGAAAATCTTTTTTGGAAGTGAAGTAAATCTTAATGCGAGAGGGGGTTTGCATTAATCGAAGAGACCTTTGGATCTCATCGCTTACTTTCAAGTAGCGGCATTGCTCTCGAGAGAGGAAACAAATTTTTTAGCGTGAGTGATGAGCCTCAAATGCGATGGACAGAGAAAGAAAGCAAGAGAGATAGAAGGATGGCCCAATCGCATTGTATTATCGAAAGAATAATCTTCTGACCTCACAAACAACGAAAAGATAGCATCTTGCGATCCTCTCTCTAGACCAGCCGACAAATTGTTATAGTCGTCGGCGGCCATGATTACTGGAGGGGACTTTGCGTGTGGTCTGAGACAAGGTGGGCACTCATTGCCCCACCAATCATCAATCACGAAATAAGAAAGCCAACCTCTTTCTAAATCCCCACTCTCGCTCTCATCAGTCATCATCATCACTCGCACCCTGGCCTCTCGCCACGCACGTAGCCAATGCGTCCATGGGCCCCTCCAAGGCAGCAGCCACCCCCCCTAAACCCGGCATGGCAAACCTGGAAAGCGGTTACTAGAGAGAGAACGTGCGGGCCCTCCCTATACGTGCAAAAAGATTAATTTCCAATTTTGCCCGGAAGCCTTAATGAGCCTCGGCACGGTTTGGATGGCGGTCGAGGATGGTGCAGAGGAAGAGAGAGAATCATTCCCTTGATGTGTCATGCCCACCGACTCCCACGTGAGTCCACGTATGCTGCCACTCTTTTTCTCTCTCTCAACCTCCCCAATCTTTTCTCTCTCTACCCATCGTCAGAAAGGCATAGATGGCAGATGATCCATTGGAGGTGCGTTTGGGGTCAACCTTGTAGAGACCAGAGAGTGATATCCGGGGTTTCATAATGGGATAGCACGGATTGATTGACCACTTTTCTCCCATTTAATACCACGCACCCGCCCTCTTGTCTTCCCTCCGTTTGCCCTTTGCCTCACCTCACTCTCTCTCGTATCTCCTTCCTTCTTCATCTCACAGTCAATTGCCTTTCCCCTCTTTTTTATTTCTCCTGATTTTTCTCAGACATTCGGGTTTCCCCTCTTTTTATCTCTCCTCTTCTCTCCATCATTTGCAATTAGGTACTCTCTCTTAATTTTTCCCGTCATCTGGATTTGTTGAGACTTACGAGAGAGTCGGGAGGAGCAAATGGACGATTTTTGTAATACAGGGCTTGTTTTGGGATTGGGAAGAGGCATATCCCTGGAAAAGCTTCCTAAACCTGAACCTAAAAGGCCTTGCTTCCGATTGGATCGCCTCTTCCCTTCGCCTTCCGAGCCCTGTCTCACTCTAGCTCTCACTGAAACCCCATCTCCTGGTAATCATCTCATCTCTTTTTCTCTCTCTAAAAAACCGAAATCCTATTATGCTTCTTCTTTTCCTCTTAATATTTCCTTTCTGCAGGTGCTGTCCCTCAAAAGATTCAGGTAAGGATTGACGTGAACAAAGCTTATGAAGAGAGCGGAGCACCCAATTGTTCTCCGACTGGTAGTAGCGTTTCCTCTTTCTCTAATCTGCATCGAGAGCTTTTTAATGGGGGAGTGAAGAGAGAGAGAGAGCAGGCGACTGAGGAGTTGGAGGTGGAGAAGCGGGTGAGCGATGAGGAAGAAGAAGGCAACGCCAGAAAGAAACTTAGGCTCACCAAGGAGCAGTCAGCTCTCCTCGAGGACAGTTTCAAGGAGCACAGCACCCTTAATCCGGTAAACTATTGTGTTCACCCTAAATTTCTCTCTTGCTATCTCGTTCTCTCGCTCTCTCTCTCTCTGATACAGTGTTCTTTGGTGCTCAGAAACAGAAGCAGGCTTTAGCGGAGCAGCTGAATCTGCGGCCTCGGCAGGTAGAGGTCTGGTTTCAGAACAGGAGGGCAAGGTGAATTTACTCTTCTTTCTCTCTCTACATTCCCATTGGTTTTCCTCTCAAAGAAAACCATGAAACCATAAATTATAATCCAATAAAGATATTGGGCCCTCTTTAACGACCTGGATTTTGAGATCTTGGGTCTTCTTTTCTTAGTGAATCAACTCCTATGTCTCCTCTTTTCACTCTGCATTACCATCAGTTTCTCTCTCTAAAAAACCCCATTACGATGGACACTATCAGTCATTCTAAAATATTGGTTCCTCTTGATTCAATTCAGGACCAAGCTGAAACAAACAGAGGTGGACTGCGAATTCTTAAAGAGATGTTGCGAGACACTCACTGATGAGAACAGGAGGCTTCAAAAGGAGTTGCAGGAATTAAAAGCCCTAAAATTTGCATCTCCTGTTTATATGCAGCTCCCTGCCGCTACTCTCACTATGTGCCCTTCTTGTGAGAGAATTGGTGCGGGCGATGCGTCAACTAGAAGTTCCTTTGCTAAGGCCGCACACTTCTTTAGTGGGCCTTTCACGCATCCTGCTGCTTGTTAAAATCAAAGGAGAAAAGCTAGTTAAAGAGAGAGAAATGTCTTGATTGTCTTAGAGAGAGAGAAAGGCAATCAGGGGTTTCCTTGTTTCTTGAATTGGAGCAACCCCACAAATCCCACTGTATATTCTTTCACCCCATTCCATTGTCATCATCTCACTAATCAAATCTCATACTTCTTTTATTATTATTACTTTGGAATATGGAAACCGTAATTTTTCTAGTTAATGAAAAGAGCTGATCTCTACCGCAAGTCCTTTCTATTAAAGGTGAATATTACAGGGTTACACAATCAATAGATTGATTAAAGAACATTAGGTATCATCTTCTTTTGAGGGAGGAAAGAAAAGGACATAAATAAAATTGGGGGTGTTATTTTGGATGGTGTGGAAAGTTGCATCAGGAAACAAGCTAGAGGTCATCATTATTATCATATATATATATATATATATATATATATATATTTGAGATTAGCTAATTTGTACGGCCTTTCGCCAGAACTCCCAAAATTTTTTGTATTACTCCGAAAATGTTTTATTGAATTTAATCTTAATCTTTTTTAAACTTTTTGTTGTGAATTAATTGGCACCTCCGTCGTAGTGAGAAGCTGATGGGTTATCTTGACACTCAATGTGAGATACAAGCTGAAGGTTATCTTAGAGAAGGTGGAGAGAGAGAGGATATGCGTTATCTTTGTTTGGAGATACAAGCTGAAGGTTATCTTAGAGAAGGTGGAGAGAGAGAGAGGATATGCGTTATCTTTGTTTGGAGTATGGTCGTGCAAGAAGAGGGCAAGTGTGCTACTGTATCCCGCCGATTAAGGGATTGTTCAAGATTTTCTCACAATAGAATGATTCCCTACTTGCACGTAGTGGAGATAGAGAGCCTTTTCTCGGCTCCTTTTTCTTTCCCTAGGGTTAAAGGTGGTTGTCTCGTGCCGTGCCGTGCCGTGCCTTGTGGTAGCAAGAGCACGGTGACAGGAAGGACGTGTGGGCGTGGCCCCTCTGTGTCACCCCAACTGCGCATCACATGGCATAACGCGGCAGTGGAAATGATTGAAGGTTAGGGTTATCAACTTTCTCTCTCTAAATGATTAAGTGGTGGTGGGCTCACGTGTATTGAGTGAAGTTAGAGAGAGAGGAGAAGGCTTGTGGGGCAAGCAAGGAATGATTTTCGGAAACATGGGCCACGCCCGCGTGATGTGCGCGCACGCATTTCTTCCCCTCCCCATTAAAAGCATCTCTCCTTGACCCCACGAACTTTACCCCTTCTCCCCGGCCCTATTCATGACCCACTTATTCTCCCCATTTTGGGTTCAGTCTGGTAGATAGGGGTGGCAACGAATTAGGTTCGGGTATTGTCAGGACTCGAACTTCAAAAGAATTATTGGATCTGGATTAAAACAAGAGTAAAAATTATTAAACCCCCCAAGATAAAAATTATTAAACCCCCCAAGATGGATTTTTTACCCACTTTATATCCCACCCAATTTTTCTAGCAACTCCTTTCAAAATGATGTTTTCTGGCTAATACCCCTATTCACGTATTTTGGACAAAAAATACCCTTCTCTCACATGACAAATTATTTTAGTTAGAGAGTGCGGTCCGGCATTTTGAGCAAGCGGTGCGAAGATTTTTTTTTTTGGAATGGGCGGTCCAACGATTATTTTTTTTTTTGTTGCGATTTGTTTTTTTTGCTGGTATGGGCCGTCCGGCATTTGGAAGTTACGGTCCGGCATTCTGAAGTTGCATTCCGGCATTTTGAAGGGGGGCAGTCCGATGTTTTCCTATGACAGTCAGGAATTTTGTTGGAAGAGTCTCGCATTTTGAAGTACGCCAGGCTGGGCAGTTTGGCGTGGTGTAACTTTTTCAGTTGGGAATATTAACTATCGGTGCAGCATTTTGAAGGGGCAGTCCGGTGTTTTGATGTGGGAGTCAGGAATTTTGTAGGGGCAGTCTGGCATTTTGAAGTACACAAGACTGTGCAGTCCAGCGTTGTACAAATGGGTCCGACGTTTCCTTTTATTGGGATCCGAAAATGATTTGTCATGTAAAGGGAGGGTATTTTGGTCAGAAAAGATGTAACTTTTTGAGTTGGGGGTATTAGTTATAAAAAATGGTTTTTGAGAAAAATAAGTGTGGAAAGTTTAGGGTGGGGGTAGAGTGTCTAAAAAGTATAATTTTGGGGATTTTTAGCAATTTTTCCTAAAAAATATAAGATAGGACCTAAACCCGCTGGACTTAACTTATATATATATATATATATATATATATATATATATATA